AAAATTGTTTATTTGCAAATGAAGTTTTTGCATTTTTGCATAATCGAACTGTGATGATGATTGTTTTTTGCGATTTTCCTCTTTTTTTCCTTGATTTCTGGTCTGTTATTAATATATATTTTCATAGATGCTAAAGAATTTAATGGGGTCTGGTTTGCCTGCTAAATAATTTTCCACGGATAATTTTTTATGAAGTCACTGGTGGCACCTGGTCAAATTCCTTCTATCTCTCTTTATGATTCGCAAAAAACCGGTTTTTTTTTTCTTCTCATCTCTTCTCTCCCTACTGCTATGCTCTCCATCTCCACATCTGTTATCCGTTGATCTGCTTCGGTGATATATAGAAAACCAGTCCGTTAAATATTTCTGGTTGATTTTTTTTCACTGCTTCATTGGTTCTGCCTTTCTTAGCATACCGATGAATCTTGTTGCTTTCAAGAAATATTTTTTTCAAAATCTCCAGATCTCATACTTCCCTGGAACATTCGGAAAAGCTGTTGGTGGGTGGATGATCTCCACCTATGCAGCTGATAAATTTTCTATCGAATCTTGCGTTTTTTGCTTCCAAAATTTTCTCCCAGCATTCATCTTTTATGCCAAAAATACCAAAACCACTAGAACTGTCAGTGCTGGCATCAAATGCTGATGGGCAATACTGGTATTATTTTCACAGCTGTGACAGGCATTTCGGTACTAAGCTGCATAATTATACAGTTATTATCCATCGCCTGTTCGTTATATGTACGCGCTACCTCTTCATGGTCCCCTGAGTGGTCATTTAGGTACAACGCACTAATGCGTAACGTCCACTAGTTGTCCGTTATACGAGCAATATACCTTGCCATCGGAATTTACTTCCTCGCGTGATTGCAGTGAGATCCTACAAAAAAGCCACTCATCTAATGAAGAGTCTGATTGCTTATATGGTCATTAAGAGGCTTGCAAGCATCCTTCGCTCCATCGCTCTTAGAATTTACGAATAAAACTACGCTAAGTTAGGCGGGACAGTTATAAAACTTTTTTTTTTTTAAATTTAAATATAGCTCTGAAAAATACGACTTTTTTTTGTTTTCGCTGGGGCAGCTCTGTTTTGATCATTTGTGAATTGTGCAGCATTTTAACAATTCATATCAGTAAATTTGTATAATTTTTATCGAATTGTCTATTTTTCTAGGATTTGAGTAATTTCGGTGTTTTTTTTTGGTCCAGTGCATGTGGACGCGACATGTTTTTGCTCCTGTGTTCACCTATGTTTCGGTGGTACTCTTTCGGGTACGTAATGGATGAAAATATTGTTGAGACAAGCTATTTTAATCACATTTCATCATCATGGCGTCCTTCTCGGGATTGTTCAGCTAGCAACTTTTCCCTTTTCTCTGACCGATGCACTATTACTTGATGCTGAGCTTGCTGCCAACTCGCATATTTGTTTCGTCTTCTGAAGGGATTACCAACTCAGACATATCAAAACAGAAATATTTGATACCAAGCCAATCTGAACGAATGTTAATCCGGGGACAACTGGTTTAGGGGAGTTGCCAAGACATCCGTATTGTTGAAATCCATGCATGAGTTGTCCCTGTCCAGGGCCGGCTCTGTCCAAGTATCCTGGGACTGTTGTTAATGCAGTCGTACAGCACAGTACCCCGTATGGACTGCATCACTAAGAAATAGTAGAATAGAGGGACTGGACTAAGTGTGATGTGCAGTAGGAATTTTACGATGCAGTCTATGTCTCATCCCCTAACTGTAAACACAGATCGAGCAATGCATGCGGCTAGGAGCGGGAATCATCAGTACAGTCAGGAGGCTATGTACTGAACAGTTATGTAACTAATTTGCAAGACGGATATGCGAAAGAACTAATTGAAAGTAGTAGCATCGACGAAGCAATTCTGCCGCAAGCGGATTCCACGTGGGATTTACACAGAGATGAAAACCGGGAACATATAAGAGCAAGAACATCACAAAAGTTATCCCCAGTTTTTGCATTTCACTTCCTCGTACTTCCCGCGGACGTCACTTCGGTGTTTCGTTTGTGATTGTTAACTACAAGCTCCCACTCATCGACTTTTCTTTGCTTTTCACCGCCACTACTGTGTCCGCGAATCTTGGCCAAGTTAAACCATGAAAAGTAACACAAAGACAGGGAATTTCATAAAAATTCATTACATAAACATAAACTCTTTACATTCAATAACCAGCATATTAGAGATCATGCCGGCCAAACAACACACATATATACATAGAAATCATGGAACATTGTAGCACAATACAGAAAACTTTAAATCGTTTCGTATCGCTTCTTCCTTTCAATCCATTGCAGCTGAGGGCGTCTGTATGGCCGACCGTCAACAATATACATTCGAAAAATCAGCGCCAATATTTATTCACCATATGCGTAGCTGATCGCTGAATCCTAAAAAGACTGTGAATTTTAATGGCTACATATATTGCAGTTCCAATCTGACTGGATGGTGAAGCAGTAGCTGTTTTAGATGTTGAGTAAATGCTATGTAAGATCATCATTTTAATTTACTTCTAAGCACTGCCTGGAAGAGGAAACCATCAACAGTTTTTAATAGGGGTTATTTGGGTTATTTCCGGAAGTCTTTACTGCTCACAGAGGATGGATTCAGTGGGAATTTTAACTTTAATACTATAAAAAATTTCCACTCAAGCATTTCGCCACCAATAATTAATAAAAATCATGCGCATATCCATGAATGAAGTGAGGCAACATCGTTATTTTTGTTCCTGGATCACACTTCATGATGACTGATGGTCCTGCCATACTTCTACAATGAGCCCAGGGAGATTAGTTTACGCTAAACTATACTGAATTCTCCTCTTGCGCTACTGCACAAAAACGCGGCCATATCGGCATGTAAATAATTGACTATTTATGGCTGCCGAAGCTAAAATCGAGCAGCATCATCCCCGACGGCCAAACTAATTGTAGCTACGAAAGTAGCTGCTGAGAGAAGCGGAAAAGTGCTGGCTAGGCGGCCAAAAATAGGTGGATCTTGCTGGAAGGGGTAGATCCTTTCCTTTCACTCATCCTTCTAGCAAATTAGCTACATTTCCTTTCAATACATGGCGGGTAGGAGGCTATACTGACGATTCCCACTCGTACCCGCATGCATAGTCCGGTCTGTGTTTACAGCTAAGGGATGAAACACAGAGACTGCATCGAAAAATATCACCCCACTACATTTAAAAGATAAGGGCAATTTGTTTCCATAAAATAACACCATACACATGTCCAGCGTGCAATCCTGTTGGTCTATTGTTTCAGCGTTCCAGTTTCTCAGATCCCCCAGTTATGAATTTAACCGAAAAAGATTTTGGTGGGCCCGTACGCGGGAACCACGCGGGTGTTGGTGCCCATTTTGGGGACTAGGGCCGGTACGTGCATGTAGATTAAGTTCCCGAAATTTCAGCCCCGCAGCTTTTATAGATCCTGAGATGAAAATGCATGACAGACGCACACACAGACACACAAAAACACAGGCACACAGATACGTGGACACACAGACAACCTCTCGTCAATATGCGTTTTTGCACTGCATAGATGCAAAAAATGCATAAAAACAGACCAAGCAAGTAGAGCGGTCGACACTTGATTTGGATGTCACACAACTTCAATTTAACGCCTTTTGCGTCGCATCGTTTTGTTAGTTCCGTTCTCGGTAAAGATGCGCCGAGCGTGGTCAGCAGCGATAAATCTAAAAGTGGAATGACATGTGTTAAACACTAGCCTTTTCTGCTCACAAATTTTTACGACCACAGAACTGCCATAGAAAATCCACAACATGCGTTTAAACAAAAAAAAATTATACAGCCGTTTTCCGATTTGTATTAGTTTAGAGAGAAGATGAATTCCCGTCTTCCCTCTTCATCACCATGGAAGAAGAAAGAGGTACGACTCCGAAAAACAATTTCACGTCGCTGTTATGACTGTTATTGACTTCCGGTTTCCCAATTTTCAGAGAGATCAACCACATGAAACGGAGTGTTAGTGAGT